GATTTTTGGCCCAGCGTGCGTCACATTGGCTGACCTCTACCGTTTTGATGCCCACTCCCCTAATGGACAGAGAACCTTTGGAGCTCTTCGTGGTCCCTTAGGGTTTTTACCACTCTGAACCCTTTAGTGCCATCAGCGAATTCCACGAGTCACGCCCTGTTCTAGACCATTTAGAAATCTATTTTTAAAAAGTGGTCCTAGGCCAAAACCCTGGGAACCCACAAGAGGACCTGCCCTTTTATTCCACAGCTGCTAAGCTTACTGAGAAGTCTTTGCTAAGGGACTTTATCGAAGACTTTTTGAAACTCAGAGTAGGTGATGTCTACTGGCTCAGCCTCATCCACATGTTTATTACCCCCCTCAAAAACTCTAGCAGAGTAGTTAGACAAGATCTTCTTTTAGTGGAGCTGTGTTGGGTATCCTTGAGCAAGGCCTGGGTCTCCAGACGTTTGGTAATTCTATCTTTAATAGCACTTTCCACTCTCTTCCCAGGAACACACAGAGGTCCGTAAAGTCCTGGATCTCCCCATGAGCTCTTCTTAAAAACTGGAGTTACCTTGGCCACCTTCCAGTCCTCAACTCTAGAGGCTGAGTATAGAGGCAGGTTGTGTATTTGAATGAGAAAGTGTCAGAACCTCGCAATCAATTAACCAGCATTACAGCTAGTTTGCTCACTCCTGCCATAGTAATGCGTGTGTGTGTGTTAGGTGAATAGCCGTTAGAGCAGATGGCTTGTTATCCAGTGCTCCAGAATGCCAAAGTCGTGCTGGTGTGAGAGCAGGAGAAGGCCCCAGAAAGACTGAGGGGAGGAAGGGGGCAAGGAACGAGGGGTTAAGAAAGCATAGCCGCGGGTGGGCTTTTCAGTTCCAGCAATCTCTACTATGGACTGTATGTTAATCCTCAATGAACTGATTTTCTTTTGGACTTGCTGAGTTCCAGGGAAGGTTTCCTTTTATTGTGGTTGAAAGCTGCAGTTCCTGACAGAAAGTCCACAATCTCAGCTCTGAGCTCCTTCCAAACCTCGGGTGGATCTCATGGGGGCCTGGTGATCTGCTGAGGCTCAGTTTGTCCATAAGGCCCAGCGCTGCTTCTCCTGTCACCGCTCTGGGGCTCAGCTCAGCTGGTTCCCCTCCCGAGAACAGAGCAAAGGCTCAGGGACTCCCCCAGTTTGCCTCCCGTGAAGACGCAGGCAAAGAAGAGCCAGCCGAGGGAGAGATGCAGAGGGTGGAGGTGCAGAAGTTCAAGGGGGGACCTGCAGTAGGAGCCTGGAGGGAAAAGTCATGTGAGCCCCCTGGGGGGGTTTGGACCAGTCCCACCTTTTCATCCCAACCTACCTCACAGGGTTGTTGTAGTGGGGAGGAGGGCACGCTGTATGTGCTGCCCTGAGCACCAGAAGGTGGCCTTTTAAAAGAAAGAAATGAATAAATAATGGACAGATTCATAAATAGGAAGAGACCTGTAGCAGTAACACATAGAAATAGTCTCATTATAGAGATCTAGAAATAAGGAATAATTCTATAAGAATGTTATATAAAATAAGCAGATATCAAATATTTCAACTGTAAAACCAAAACCTTTATTGATTTAAGAAATTTTCCCCTGCATTGAACGTTTCTGTGACTTGTCTCTCGCGGAGTCTGGGCTCCATCCGGCCATTTTTGGTCCGAAGCTCCTTCTGCAGCTGGTCTCCCGGCCGAGGAAGCGGAGTCACTCCAGTCGCTCTTTCTTGAACCCGATTCTCAGCTTCACACTTAGATCTGAATCACGTAATCATAAAACCCCCATGTGAATGTGTCAAGGGGCCCATGAAGAAGCTACCTTAAAAAAACAATTAAGCTTCAAAATCCATTTAAAAGGTCAATAACACTTTGGGCGTGCAAGTCACTCTTTGAATGAGATGGGCGGTGACTAAATTTGAAATAAAAATCAATATTGGGCCACTTCCTACTGTTCCTAAGGAAAATATTTCTTTGTGGCCCTTCAAGGCTTCATTCCCACACTGCACTAAGCCGAGGTTTGTTTCTGGTTAGGCTAAAGTGGGTATCAGCCCTTGTGACTTCATGCTATTTGTGAATGCAGACCACGATTTACGGTCACCAGGATCCCTGCCAGCTTCTTCCCAGATCGACCGGATCCTCTTTGAGGCCATGAGATTCTCGGTCCCTCTTTGCAGCTACAGATTCAGGAAACTGTTTCTGCGCTGGGATCCCTTCCCTTCCCCCCAAGACTCCCCCAACAGAGGGGCGGCAGAAAGAAAGATGGAGGAGGCTCCATCCCTCCGTTTCTTCTGCGCCTCCATCTCCTCTCGGCCCCCCTCGGGATCCTCCACTGCGTTTTCTGATCCTAGGAAGTGAAAGTGGGACTTGCCAGCTGCCCTCTTCCTGGCGAGGCTCCTGCTAGAGGGCAGGGCTCCATCCCGGGGGAGGTGCAGGGACCCAGGCTGGCATCGAGGGAGGGGAGAAAGGGGGCAATTGGGGGGACTTTCTTTCCCTTGAACACTAGTGAAGAAATGGGGGTGTTGGTTCCCCTTCTTGGAGGGTTTGGGGGCAACCACGCAGACATGCAGGACTCCTGAGAGAGCAACAGGGGCCATTTTGGGGGGGCCAAGCACTCACGGGCCCTGGACCCTTTTCCTTCTGGGCTGGGAAGTTCCCCCTTTTGGGGGGCAATGGATGGAAGGGCAGAGCCTGGGGAACCCCTTGCCATCCCCCATTCCTTTGGGGAGCAGAAGTAGTGGGGAAGGGCCCCTCAGTTGGCTTCTCTCAAGCAAAAGGAGGTTGTGAGAACTGGACTCTATAATTTTTGGAGGGGGAACCAGAGCCCCCATCATTGTGATGTGTGAATGCAAAAATCTCAATGGGGGTCTGATCAGGGGACCTCAAGACAGATGTGGGGGGAGGAGTGGGGCTTTTCCTGAGGAAAAAGTTTCTGAGGAGCCTCTCTTGGGGGGCTTGGCAAGGGGGTTGGGGGCCCCTCTGCCCCTTACCCCCCTTCCGGCCATTTGTCTCTGCGTTGAGCCTCCAGACAGAGGACTTTGGGCTCTGCTTGTTCTACCTTTTGCCCAGAAGGAGACTTTGGGGAAGGGAGAAGATGGAGGGAAACCGGGGAGGATTTCAAGTGGGGGGCAGCTGGGTCTGGAGACCCTCAAGGCCCAATTTGGGGGCAGGATGGGGGGCTTCAAGGCCTCACTGAGAGGGACATGAGGAATTTCATGGGGAAGAATGTATTTATTTCATTTTACAACCATTATTTATCCCTTTTCTCACTGCCTCCCTCCTCCATCAAAGTTGCTGCAGGGAGGGGGTCTCTGTCTCTCCTGAGGACTCCCCAAACCATCTTCGTGTCCCTCTTTCAGGCCTCCACACCTGGCAGATGATGTGTGGCTGTGAGCTCCAGGGAGACGGGAGCAAACGAGGGTTTTGGCGCTATGGATATGACGGGAGGACGTTCCTCACCTTTGACAAGGAGACCCTCACCTGGCTGGCTTCTGAGCCCCAGGCCGAGATCACCAAGAGGGAATGGGAAACTATTCCAGGATTCAGTCAGGGAAGGAAGGCCTACCTGGAGAAAATCTGCATTGAGTGGCTGG